GTGCACCTAAAAGTATATTTTGACATGAATGACAAGCTATCAAATGATTCCGCACGGAAAAGACAAATAGTTATGTTTTCTCGTGTCAAAGAAAATGATGGACGTCATCGTACGTTGGCAGCCAAATAATGGCTACATTACAAGTATTAGCATTGAGCAGCGACCACGTTCATTTCATCAATTGTTTTCCCAGGCTTTGTCCCAACCTGATGCCACGCACATTTCGCCTGCCTTATCACCCAAATTCTTTGCCGTCAAATGTACAGATAATGAGATACGCCGACAAGATTGAAACCAATTTCATGATGTTTCCTGCAATCTCAGAGTAATCTCAACCATGATTTTCGGGGTAGGAGCTAGTGAAAGAGAATGTCTTAAGTTTATTTTGACCCGAGAAAGTTGTTCTCCGCAACGTGAACCGACCAGAAGCTCTCAAATGTTTGATTCATGAATCACGATGAAGAGATGGTCAAACGGGGAAAATCTTTCCTTTTGAAGTGAGGGCAGGGAATCGAGGGCATGCATTCCTTAATTTTCAAGGGGCACGAGCATATATCACCACAATGATAACGATAATTACTACAATCATTAAAAATTGTCTGAAAAGATCATCATGACATAACAAATCAAAGGAATATAAGAATATTGTGTCAGGGTTCCCTGCACTGATGAGTAAATAAACTCCCAAATAACAAACATACCTTGAGTCACGGTTCAAAGCAAAACAGAGCAAAGGAAATGGCAGAGGGAAGGGGAAGAATCTTGCAGAGAGATAGGTCAATACAAAATTCCACACACACCCCACATGGCAACCCTACTCATCTGCTGTCCCATTATTTTCAGCTACCGGTCCCTCCTGGTTCTTGCTCACCATAATTGCTGATCAATATTTTCTCCTTGAGCCGCGTCATTCGTGGCACATTGCTTTTAAATATATCCAATATATATATATATATATATATAATATTACATGTAGAGCATTCAGGTATCAAAGGAAGGACATGATGTTTGGCAACCGCGATGAGTATGGATTAAGTGTTGACCACCTACAACCGAAGATGATATACCTCTAAAAGAATTACTTCTTTGTGGGTAACTCCAATCATGCCCTTTCACTCCCTTTATCACATTGTTCCCTGCTCCTTTTCTCTGACTAATTCCCATTCTTCAACGTGCCCTGTAATCATAAAGAATAAATCACCGACACAATTTCTTGATGATCATGATCACAACCTTTAGTCTTCACCTAACCTCATCAGCAAGCACCAAGTTGTTTCACTAGAATAGCAGTCTTGTCTTGCTTATTAATCCATGACGTCGTTGATTATGAGCTTCAGCTTGGGCTTTAGGTGGAGAGCTCCATGCTGATGAATCTGGGCCATGCTGCATATGATTAGATTGCAGGCTCGCGATGGGGTCCAGTCCTTTCCGGGTTATAACCATGAGTGCTTCTCTCTCGTAAAATTGTCCCACCATTTTGGCGTCATGGATGATATACACAATGAAAAACGAAAGAAGAAACATACTTGAAAATTACGGAAAATGCATCAGCTAGTAAGGAATAAGAGGGTGAGCAGCAAAAGTTGAAACGGTTCCTTGAATTAAAGGAAATGCATTATCTGTTTGGAAAGTAAAGCTCGGCCCTTACAAAGGTGAGAGGACACGGTGGGGGCGGGGTAAAATTTCATTCAACAAAAAGTACTCAACCTAGTGGCTTCCGAAGGTGTTGCCTCTGCAGATTCCATCTGCAAACAGTTCTACGTGATGGGTGAAGAAGAACAAACATAGGATGGGGGAAAGGAGGGAATTAGGGGACCAGCAAAAATTATCAGTTATTGTTTTGGGTGAACACTAGCAACACTGTGACCTGGGGTTTGATTATATGAACAATCTAGAATGTCGCAGTCTGCTGATACACACCATAGTGACTCGTAGATCGTACCAGGGTGAAGCCGCTGAAGCGCCTCTCTTAAAAAGGTCCATCTCTTCAATAGCGCCTCTCTCGTAAGTCTCGCTCACGACTCACTCTTGTCCAGTTTTTGTTTGGACCAATTAATTATTCATAAGGATGAATTTCATTAATTAAGTCACTCCCTTTTGTTTTAAAGTGACTACAGAACTTATGTAGAACAGAGGCAGCCCATTTGAAAGCTCGCTTTGATCAATCAAGTACGACTGGGCACCCCAACGTACGGGAAAAGAAAATAAAACCAGTATCATGATTTGCACGTGAATATGGAGCGATAACCAAGCAGAATCTTCAATCAACACGGAAATTCCTTAAAATATGCATAATGTATCCACTGCAGAATGAATGCAGAATGTAGATTTTTATATGCATATGCCTGTTGTCTTTGGCTGTTTACAATCAAACGCGGCAATCTAAGCATAAGCGGTTGGAGGAACGAACATGGGGATTCCCTTTTTGAATTAATAGAGAAGCAGGAACTGATTGAGACGAGATTAGTTAATTGGAAGAAACAGCCACATGAATGTTGTCCTATTAGGCAGCTCAAAGTAAGATTTATGATATAGCCCATTAGGGGAGTAGTTTGCAACAGATCCATTTCGTGTAAAACATGAGAAGCATCGGTTAGGGTATGGGAAAATGCCCCTAATGGGTTCTCTACAAAACGTAAATCTGCCATAGCGTTTCAAATAGCTACAATAGTGCCAAGCCCATTTTATTTCGCTTAGAGTGTGATCCGTTCCCTCACTCCTAGTCCTCCGCCTCCCCTCCATTGTCATTCAATAATACCCATAGAGTGGCCTCTCTTTTTGTGTCGAGCACTCACATCCTCATACCACTAAGAATAACTGGAATGGCATATTATTAGATTCCACCATTGTAAACTTGAATGATAAATCACTTTTCATTATGCTGACCGTGGTTAGTGCGGTTGGATAAAAAAAAAAAAGGGTCAAACGATCAATTAAAACCCATAAAAATTACAACTCATAAGTCAGCAAAGATAAAATAAAAAATAGAACAAGAAAATAAAGGAGTACAACGTTGACTAATTTGTTCCGTCAACACTGAACTAAAAGAAAAGAGCATATGTACAATTTTTAGAATCGGATTAAATACTAAATTGAGTAGGTTAGTAATTTATAGTTTGTATGGTTTAACCAGTTTGGATCAATGGTCAAATCGATGACGTAATAATCAAATTAAAACAACTGTATAAGTATATAAAAAATAAATATAAAATTATTACTTAACTTAAAAATAAAACAAAATATTTTAAATTTATCATGACTTAATAAGTTACATAATACAACATAACATTAAATGATTAAAAAATATTTATTTTAAAAAATTATAAAAAAAAATTTTTTTAATAGTTTAGTTTTTAAAAATTAAATCCAGTTTTCAGTTCGACAGTTAATCCAAAACGGCTCAACCTCCAAAATAATTTTTGCATGTTAATCAAGCTGAAATCTGGACCGATTGACAGTATGACCATTCGGTCCAGCTTTTGATCACTATATATATCAAATGTCTTATAAAATAACACTCTTTCTTGAGAAGATTGGGAATGCAAGAAATTTTTCATTTTGCATGATAATCTTTAAATCTCCCAACCACAAACCTCCTATAACAAATTGATTACAAGCATTTATTATCCACCATTCCAAGATGCGTTGAAGAAAAGCTTGTTTGTTTATTCATTTTCATTATTCATTATTTTCTCTAAACATAGTCAAACATTATTTCTGGGGAATGGTGAAATTGATGAAAAAGAATTGAGAGAGAGAATTTTTGCCATACGATGAAAAAGAGCAATCGAGAGTGAGAAAGGTATTTAAGAAAATAATTTATACACGAATCATAAAGTAATTTTTCGAAACACATTTCCAAAATTTATTTCCATTCCTTTTGTCTATTCTCCCTTCCCATTTATTTTTTTCTATTTTTTATTCCTTAAAAAACATGAAAAATCTTCCCTGATGCGACGCTCACCAGCTTCGGCCACGCATTCGTCAGGGTGCAAAGTTTTGGCAGAAGGGTACCGTATCAGCTCAAAGCAACACGACTATAGAAACCGCTAGGTTCGTTACATGATATAGACTCTTTTCAAGGTTAAGGAAACGAAATTGATGACCAAGGAATCAACTAGGATGACCACGCATAAAACATAACCTCAAAGCTGTCCGTTCCAACTTCTGATTTGGACATCAAGAATAAATGGGACTGTCAAACATGCGGCCAACTAAAATTTTTACGGCTTAAGCCTGATAATCCAATATCTTGCGCCCCAATGATATGAAGGGCAAATGTATTCCCGATTCCCGAACGCTCAATAAGCATTTAGATCATGGTTTCAAGAAGAAATCCTTCCGATACTAAACAAAGAACATTATCAGTCATAAGGGTCAAAGCATTTGAAACGAGTTGTGATGACCCAAATAAATTATTCAGGAGGTCTTTCTATCTTTAATTACTCTAGATTGAATAGTGAAACTAAGTGCTTGAATGCTGAGAACAACTAGATGCTTGTTTGGACAGATAAAAACAAGGCAAGAACTATATAGCCTCACTAGGAATAACAAGAAATAATCATAACAAAGTTTTAATTTCTATACTTGTACTAAAACGCAGATGACTCGACAGATAGAATCTTTACCAAAAGACCATACTATCGAGCACATTAGCATGCCTTTTCATTTAAATATTAATCAGAGCACAAAATTTACAACGGGCAGCTCAGAAAGTTACTCGTACTTGTGCGTGAAAGAGTCTAATATACTGAGAACAAGAACCGCTATGGTAAAACCGAGTACGTCAATGAGCTTAGAAAGAGCACAATCTGAAAATTAAACTTTCTTGGTTATAAACATAACAAAACCATGGTATATAGCAGAATCATGGTCATTTAATAGCATAATTTAATTCGCCAGATTTAACAAAGATGATTGACTCTCAACAGTTCAATTCTTAAACAAGGATAAGTGACAATTCCGAAGCTTCTGAAAACCCATCTTATACCAATCAAGGGTGGAAGTAAAAGGAGAATGCTTCATTAATATAAAGCCATATAAAGGCACTTACATAGCTGTTGGAATATTATAAATTTATGCAGTAAAGAAAGGATAATAACTTGATCAAAAAGATTTTTGTCAGTTCAAACGTCTTCGCCTGGGAGCTCGAGAATCTCCACTATCCACATCAGAAACTCGAGATGCATCATTTCTCCTCCTGGAAGAGGATGTCGATAAGGAAACCATGGAATCAATTTCTACAGCAGTGTCTACTTGACTCTCCGAGTTTATAACAGCAGCAACACTTGAAAAGGAATCTCTGTCATCGACTGGTGGAGGCTGCTCTTGGTTTCTACCTATGGGATGGCCACGGATGTATGCGTCAAAAAATCTCTCAGCAGAACTCAGAGCTGATGAAAGAGAAGAAAGTGTTGTTCTATTTGATTGTCTTCGAAGCAAAAGGGATTGAACCCTGCGGTTATCCCCCACCTCAGGGCCGCCAGTGTTGTTTTGTGTTAAGTCCGCTACATCATCTGCGGTTGCCCCATGAATATGCTCTCTCCTTAATGCCCGAGAGGTCAAAAATCTATTTAACAAGGCTGTGGTTCTGTCAGCTGCTTCTCGGGCAATGTCAGGCTCATGTGGCTGGCCTACATCTCGAGAGGGATCAATTCGACTTCCAAGACGCCGAATCATCTCTTCAACTGGCAATGCAAATGCATTACGATGAATGGTTTGTCTCAGACTTTCAACACGCCTAGCATGGGGTCTAAGAGGGACCTTAAGAGAAGGATCTTCTTCAGGTTCACGGACATTGTTTCCACGACCATATATTGGCGTAACATTTTTAAATGTTACCTCTCCCTTGCAAACTGGACATTCCTTAGCATCTGAATGGTCATGTAGCCACCGATAGAGGCATGGCCAGCAAAACAAATGGCCACAGCAAGTCACAACAGGATCTCTAGCCAGGTCCAAACAGATATTACAATCAAAAAAGCTCCCGTCATTGCTACTACCTTTCTCAACATCATCCTTCTTGTCTGATGCTTCATCCTCCGTAGCACCATTGTTTGTTTCACAAGCTTTTGTTGCCAGCTCTGTTCTTTCTTCAGCTGCCACGCTACCTTCCCCAGCCTGTAACGCACTGCCATTACCAGGGTTGACCAACAAATGATTCAATTCCATTGAGATTTTGGGCTTCAGGTGAAATAAGTATTCCCGGTGTGCCTCAGGTGAAATAAGAAAGCCACGATGGGGTTCGGGAGGGTTAATGTGAAGATGCCGCCATCTCCACCTCTGTCGAGTCCTATGCCTAACCGCGTCGCTAACCCTGTGAAGAGGCTCTTCAATCCAATCCTCTAAGCTCACGGATTGATTGGTTATGGAGCCAGATGCTGGCTCTGGATCAGGACCCAGATTCAGATCAAGGTTCATCACATCCGATGTCTCTTCCCCCATTCCAATTTCAATGACCAGGGTATAAAAAAGCTTACTTTATTACAAATTCCGACAAACGGTGTCAGGAAGATTAACGAAATGAAACTACCAGAGAAAATTTTAAGAAAGGAGAATTAAATTGCGAAACCTCAACTTTATTACAAATTGGGGGGGGGGGGGGGAAGAAAAAGGTCGGAGAAACCCTCAATTGGTGTCAACAGCCAGAAAAGAAAATAGCCAAAATTCGCAACAAGGTTGGTCAAAACCCTAAATCCCGCACAGACACGAACGAACTCAGATCCAACACCTAAGGTTGACCGTAATTGAAATGAAACTCCACAGCCAATTGCTCCAATTGAACCCAATTACAGGAAACTCGTATTGGAGGCCATCGGATGAAATCCTTGAAAGGGTAATGAAGCCATGCGGAGAGTCACGGAAGCGGGTTTCGCTAATACGGGTTTAGGTATATCAGAAGCATTGAAAAGAGAACAAAGACGGGAATTTTTATTGCTGGAAAGAGGGGAGAAGGAGGAAGAAAGGGATAGGTACAACAATTGGGAGGGAGAGATAAAACCTGGGCGGCGGTGACGATCAGCTCGGACCTACTCCAATGGTGAGGAGGGGAGGGGGAGGAGACCGGAGTCTAGATAGGTCCGAGTAGAGTCGAGCATTATGTCTCTCCGCGGCTCGGCGATCTGATGAGGGAAGAGAGGAAGAGGGTTTAGAAGATGAGAGTGCAGAATGAAAGAAACCACGCGGGGGTAGAGGGGGCTCGGGGGAAGAGAGGAAAGAGGTGGTAAGGGAGGGACCGTGAAGCGGTGACGATCTCGCATAACTGATTGAGATGAACGGCCGTGATGAAGCGTGCGTCCATCGTTGCGACGAGTGGCCCATGTTTAACTTTAACTCGCATCAACTCGACTTTATTATATTGCGGAATCTGGGCCTTTCATAATATTAATTATTTAATATAATTGTAGAAGTTCCTTCCGACTTTGGACCAACTGGTTTGCGAATTGGCAAGCTATTTGGGCTGCTTGCAAAAAAAATTTCAGCCTCTCCTCCGTGAATGATGCTTGTAAATCTTGCTTTCCTGATTCGGTAAATATTTAACTGTGTAAGATATTTTGTCACTTTTGAAAGATGACTTTTTTTATTTTTAATGTTCGGTTGTTGTTATGCAATGCTTGTTTTTTTAATAAGAGGAGTTATAGAATTCTTTACCTGATTTACACTTGCCAATAACAAAAAATCAATCTGTAAGATCTAATTGTTTCTTGAGAAAATGAAACTATAATACATTAACAGTTACTTCCATTTTCATGGTAAACAAATATATGAAGAAGTTAATACGATTGCGCCCTTGATGATAAGAGTACAACTGGGTTGGTTCCTAAAATACCTGCATGTGAGGTGGGTGAGAGATGGCGTAAAAAATAACTGAAAATGGAGACATTAAAACCATGCTGCGTGAAGAGAGACATGGGCGTAATATAGGAGTCAGAGGGCCGACGACAAGGGCAGAAAGTAGAGTGAGAAGCCGGGGGGGGGGGGAAGTTGCACTCTTCGAGACGGCTGCCTTTTTCTATTCGTGCGTTACATACTTGCACAGGTATCTTTCTAATCTTGTCCGCATTATTTTAAATTTATCAGCGAAGGACTCCGAAAGGGTTGCTTTAATAAGCTGGTCGTTATTTTCGGGTGTGAATATTTCAAATCTGGGGTGTCCAAGTGTGGAGCTCCCACCGGGAGATGGTACTGAGGGATCCATGTGTATACGAACCAATGGAATTGATGATTAATATACCAATTAACAATGTCAGCCTGACACCATCGAGACTAGACTGACGCGGATAACGTGAGGTCTGATGGCGAATAAATGTGATGAAGCCCAGTGAGGAAGTCTTTTATGTGAGATCTGAGGGAGGGAGTGAACATTATTTGGGATAGGAGGTATTGACACCAAAGTATCGAACCAATGCTAGAAGAGAGAATGAGGGCTCTTATAGGCTAGACCTTTTAAAAATTCAAGCTTTAAAATTTAATTATATAAAATTTGATTTAATTTTGAGGTTTGACTTTTATTTTAAAGGCTTAGGGCCTAGCCCTTAAACTCTATTTTTCAAATATATCTAACATTTTAATTTAAATTAGATATCTTAAAATTCAACATAAAATAAATTAAAGTTTCACTTAAAAGTCAAAATAAAATTTGATGAAGATTTAAAATTTTAAATTTAAGATGAAAATTAAAATCTTCATCAATAAAAATTTAAATTTTTCTCATCATTATCTAAAAATAAAATATTAAATTTCTCAAATGTAGGTTCACTTGTTGAAAATGAAGGTAAAAATTTAATGTTAATTATTTTTGTAACTTTTTCATTATCTATAATAAATATTAATCAAATTGTGTCATTATTAGTTAAATATATGCATGCATGTGTATACATATATAACATAACTTTGCTTATCAGGGATGAAGCGTTGCTCGGATCCAAATCCTTTTTCTCAAGACTTGTCAAGATTAAACCTTCAAGCTTGATATTACTTTTAAAAAATCTAATTTCTAAGTTTAAATTGTTATTTAAATAAAATCTTTAAACTCAATCCTTATTTTCACCTAAAAACCAGCTTGTTCCCCTATCCATATATGTGTATTGCCCTTGTGTCTTGTACGTGTTGTCTTCTCTTCAGTTTTCTGCATCATTCAAGCTGTCAATAATCCAATCCCTTGCTCCTGTGATTTTTTGTATTGCTTGAGTTTGAGAAAATATATTTCACTGCACTCCCTCTGTTCCTGAGTATAATATCCGGTTTTTAAAATTATTGCCCATTGTTACAATACCTTGTTCAAAATTCTAGGATGTTTTGAAAATTCTTTTTACTCATACCCTTGTTTAATGATTTTTCCCCACCCTTGATAATTGAATTTATTACTATCATAAAAGAAGGAAAACAATTCAAATAGGGATAGATTTGGAAAGAACGCATAAGAAACATTTAGATACAGGCCGCTTTTTTGGTTTTAAAATTTTAGTTAGTTTTAATTATGTTATAACAACTATTTTAATTATTTTAGAAAAATAAATTTAATTATGTTCTAATATAATACTCCTTCCATCCCTATAATAATTAAATTAAGCATTATTCCAATACACTCCCTTATTAATAATTTTGGTTTTAGAATTTTAGTTTCAATTTGATAAAATTGTAACTTAAGGTTCATTATGAAGCACTCGAAATTATTCTTATGATCTAATCTTCGATTGATTTTTATTTTTACATGCAGATCAGAGTATACGTAAAAGCTATAGTTGAAGGATTGGTATAAAGAACTAGTCAAATTAATATTACAGTTATAATGTTAAATTAAAAGTATTTATCTACAAAAAAAAAACATAATAAAAAGAGTAAAAGAAGACAAAGTAGAATACTGCATCGAAAGGGTAACGCTCAAATCAACAAAGTCGGTCTCATATTTAGGAGAGCTACTCACAATTAAACATGACATTAATGTTTTAATTAGTTCAATCAGATAGATAACCATGTAAAGGAAAAAGGCTAAGAAACGCCCCATGCAGCGCAGCTCCCGTGCTCAACTTCCTCACTAACCCTGTCTAGTGCTCTCGCATCTTCGGCATTTTACGTAAATTTCATAGTCGCTAAATAAAACTGAGAGGATTATATATCCGTGTTGCTTCGGACTTTAACGACATATTTGAAATCTTCATCGACTTCATGCATACAAAATGTCACAAATGATCCTCTCAATTTGTCTCCATTATGTCTGTTTTGAATAATACTTGTGTTTATCCATTACCGTCGTGTAAGGCGAGGCAGAATTTGAAAAAAGTATTTATTTAACGGTTATTTTTAAAACCATCAATTATTAAAACACCTTAAATTGGACAATTAAATTAAAAGAAAAACGTCATATAACTTATAGTGGAGGCTGGGGGAAATACATACATGACGATTGTTTATTAAAGTGTCAAATATTAAAGACTTAAAATTTTACTTTTAGATAAATAACCGTTAACTATTGGTGACCAAAAATTAAAAGTCAACCCTATCTTCTGATTCTACGTCCCCTCTTTTCTTTTTCTCCCTGTTCTCGTTCTTCAGCGACAACGATCCAGACTGTCGCCCTCAGACATCCCCCCGCCTCCAGCCAACAACACATCATTCAATCTCCTTGAATATGTCTTTTTCATTCAGATCTAAAACCCTCGAACTCACTCTTCTTCGTATCCACCTAACAATTCCTCCTGACTCCTTAGCTGCTTCTTAATCACCTTTGACAAACCCTTGGCCCACCGCTTCATTTCTTTGCTTCATTTGCGTTACCGGAAAGAGAAAAAACTCCGAGCTTCCCTTCCTGAAGTTAGCATTCTCTGCTTCTTTATTCACTGATTTATTTGCTCTGTTTCTTTTCGTTTTGATTTCTATTTCATTGGGAGAATTTTTTATGAATTATATGTGAAGATTCCTTTCTTGTAAATATAGAGCGGACAATTGGGTAATTGTGAGTGCTCATCAAATCGGTGAACGGTGATCTGTCAGCCATGAATGCTTGGAGGTTAGCGTCGATTATGGATTTATATTTAGCTTTATTTTTTACGATATCACTCTTTAATATTCAATCTATGGAGTGTTTTCGGTGCATCAATTTGTGGATTCACTAAATCACTTTGCTTCTTTAAATTTTTTTACTTACCTTCCATTTTATCTCCTTCTGTAACTTTATGACTAGGTGATTTCCTTCATTCAGTCCTGTCCCTCTAATTTCACCGTGATTATTAATGCAAAGTGGGTGGTGAATGTCTTAACAAATATTTGGTCATTATTAATGCAGAGTGGCTTGAAACGTGAAATTTCACATTTGAAAAATTGAACATTTTCACGTAATTACTATTTTTTCACTTGTTGGATGCTCTTTTCCATGTTTTAACAATTACTCTTTCTAATAAGGTTGCTCCCTCTCAATCATAGACACACGATTGTGATCCATCGTGGAATTCCTTAGCTGTGAATGGAAAAACTGGTACTCAAGGTGCGCATCTTCATTCAATGGTTAAGCTGTAAAATGGAGAAAGGTCATTTTAGATATCTTGTGTGCATGTGTGTTTGCCTATTTTTGTATAGTTTATTGTTTAATTATATAGAGGACGATACACTTGTAGGGAAAAATATAATTAAATATGAGAAGAAATTGAATGTCTAACATTATATGATGCACATGACTTATGTTTTTTTTTTTTTAAGTACAAGTTAGAGTCTATTATGGGTTAGTGCTTTAGGATTAAGTTAGAATGCCATGCTAGATGCCACATTGTTTCATGAAATTACAAGGAAACAATAGTTCCATATCTCCTACATCGTCACATTTCTCCCCAAGTCATTCTCCCTCTGTTTAGTCCTGTGGATTTCCAGAACAGATGATTGGAAAAAAATTATGCTTGCCTTTCATAGTGTTATTTATTTCATGATTTAAAGCATTGGCAGCATCTACTCAACATTGTCTGACAGTGTTTGACTTCATGGGTGCATGAAATTTTTTTTTAATGCTTTTGCATGTAGGTCTAGTTTTTGTGATTGGGTAGTGCTCATTCATTCAGTTTCCTCTGTGGGCGTTATGGTATTATGAAGCATTGTGGATGCCGGGGTTTCAAATGAAGTCGTACACTTAATATTTAGAGTAATGATTTTGCGGGGCTTTTAATTGGCAATCAGAATTCAAGAGGAAGGTTTTGACAGCGTCCCTTTATGTTTACTTATGTTTTTTCTTACTTCTCAATCAT